ATTCCATAAAGAACTGAGAAAGAAGGAATTTGACAGCTGAAGTTTTTTCAATGGTTCTTCCTTGAACTGAAATATATTTAAAACAAAAAAAAAAAAATTTGATTTTGAGCTTTTCTCAGTATGAAGCAGGAAGATGTATTCACTTCACGGGTTACACCTTTTACTGAAAGATATTTATATCAAAGGTGCAGTTATGTTTGATATCTTCATTTTAAATATTATAACTTGATATTTATATCAACAAAAGTTTGTTCTGTGTGTTTGAGAACATTTTTACTATGTGATCAACATTCTAAGGAGGTGACACAGCAGGTACGATGAGCACAAATAGGTTAAAGTACTCCACCGATGCCCGAGGTATTATCGCACAGAATGACGAGTCACTTGAATCAACCTAATAATGCTCAGGAGAATTAAAGCACTTATTCTCTTGGCCAGAAGATACAAATTTGTAAACAAAATGCCATCATCAACTACTTGGAGCGTAATTCAACTGCAATGTTATGGAAAATAACAAGTATTGAAAGCATTGCTTACCTTTAAGTCACAAGAAGTATTAAGAAGAAGGTTGCTAGGTTTCAGGTCTCGATGGAGGACATAAGCCGAGTGAATGTACTTAAGTCCACGCAGGATTTGATAAAGAAAGTAACAGATGTGATCGTTACTTAACCTTTGGGTTTTCAATAACTTGTACAGGTCAGTCTCCATCAGAGTTTGAACAATATAGCTATTAGTAGGTTAAAGAATGTAACAGTAGCTGCTCATCCAATAGTGATAAATATACTTCACCAAAACAAAGTTAAAATCGTGTGATCTGTGTTACTTTGCTTGCACTGAGAACAAAGTTGAAATAGTGTGATCAGTGTTACTTTGTTTGCACTGAGAACAAAGCTGAAATAGTGTGATCTGTGTTACCAAATATATACAAATTATGATACCACTAGTAACCACAAGAATTTTCTATTAATTACACATGTTAAGTCTGTACCAACTACAAGTATTTAAAAGTTTCCAATTTGCATATTCTACCAGTTTTAAATAAATGTTCCACATGATTAACCCAACTAAGTCAAACAATTACAAGTTACAAATGATTTTTTTAAACAATTTACCGTTCAAAAAGTATTATTAAAATATCCTTGAAAACTGTAGGAGTTAACTATAAACGATAACACATCTAAAAATGAGAAAAAAAATAAGAGTAAAATTTAAAAAGGCTAATTCATTTAAATGGTAGTAGTCCATCTTAAGGATACACATCTTTCATTAAATCTATGGAGGGAGCCCGAAGAATGTCTTTGATGTCAATGATCTGCAAAAGAAAGATAAAACACATTAGACATTATTCCAGTTTCATCTTTTCTATACTAATCTGTCATAAAATTAACACCACTACTTTACGTCTCTGTTCAAAATTGTTTAATTCTTACAAGTATTGCAGTAAAATTAAGCTAATCTTTCTGAACAGAATGATAACTTTTGGAATTTTTGAGTGAATCAGAAAAACGTAAATCCACAAGCTCATGCTGCACAAAACTTCTAAAATTCTTTGCAGACTGAATAACTTTCACTGTTATGTCCATTTCATTTTCAAAGTAATTTCTTTATAAAACATTTCAAGTAATAACCAGTAAAATATTTAAAATAAACGTAACTTAATTAAAATTTTAATAACATCTGTGACTTTATAGATCAGAGTACTTATAGCTTAAAGCCAAATGTTAACATTTTTCTTTCACTAAAAAAGGTATTTACGATAGATACTAACCCCCACTCATACAAAGCTATCTCGATTTTCTTTCTGCCCACTAAGCCAAATCTGAATGTATGTTTTGGATATTTCTATACAACTGCACAAGGGCTATCTGTACAAGTTATACTTAATTTTGTACCGATAGACAACAGAGGAGGCAGGTAGTCAACAGTACCCATCACCAACTTTTGGGCAATAATAATAATAACTGAATGGTGGAATTTGGCAGTCACTCTTAGTGCACCCATAACTCCAACAAAGCATGATTTTTGCAGCAGTGAAACATGAACCATGGATCTGAAGATTGGCCATAGCCAATCCCTAAATATTGATGCTAATGATAAAAGTCTATCACAATTTAAGAGTAAAAATTCAATATAAACATTTATTTCTTTATTACAATAAAATTTATGAGAAAATTGTCACAAGCTTTTTCCCTGAAGTTAGGTTGATTTATAACTAATACATAAGAACAACTTATGCAAATTTTAACATTCATGTTCGCTACAATCCACTGTTATGCATCATGATAGAAAGGACTTAGCCTCCCTGTTACTAATGTGTGGATTGTCTATCAGTAGCATAATGCTTCGGTGAATGAATATATAAACCAGTAGAAAAAGGAGCTGGGGGATGGTAAGATATAACTGTAAGAAATGTACTTTCATTTCTACGGTTCAAAAAAAAGAATCAATTGAAGTTAGAAGAGTTATTAAACATATAGGAGAGAAGAAATATGAATAAAATAACTTCAAATAAAATTTGTAGGGCTGTGAATGTTTGGGGTAAATTTTCCAAAAGTAGATTCTTTTTGATACTGGTAAAAACAGAATTTGTTCTGGTTGTATCTCATATGTTTTTTAACCACTGTTAATTTTGATTTTTTGCTCAATAAATTGGCTTGTAAGACTAAGAATTGGAGATATTTTTTAAGAATGCATTTTTGAAAGGATTTTATTATAAAGATGTATTTCTATTCAGTCTTTCTTTTTTTTTAATTTGACTTACATTTTCATGTTTGAACCTTGTAAGTATCTTGATCTCTCGAAGAGTTCTCTGGCAATAGGTTTGATGTTCAAACGGAGAAATCTTTTTAATAGCCATCCTAACGTTTGTGACATTGTCATATGCTGAACTGAAAAAGTAAATAACATATAACTAAACCTTTTTAATAGCCATCCTAACGTTTGTGACATTGTCATATGCTGAACTGAAAAAGTAAATAACATATAACTAAACCTTTTTAATAGCCATCCTAACATTTGTGACATTGTCATATGCTGAACTGAAAAAGTAAATAACATATAACTAAACCTAGGTTTCATCACTACCGATTTTTGTTCAGTTTCTGTTAATTACCATTGAACCTAATTATAAAATACACACGAAACATTTTTAATTTTGTAGACTTTTGTCAGCTAAATTTTCCAAACAAAAAATATTAAGTACACATACATGTCACCTCTAAACACAAGACTAAACACAATCAAACCTAGGAAGTATTTTACAGAAACTATAATGCAGGATCGATTATTCAACTTTTATTATCACATAACTCCTATTAATTTGAAGAAAAAGCTGTTTGCATTTCTAGGCTGTGTACTGACAGTCTGTGGCCACCCCATAAAACAAATTCTTTCTTAGTCAATGTTGGTTATAGGTCATCAAATATGCAAGCTCTTAGAGAGGTATAATTTTTTTTTTTGATGTACTAGCTCCAGGTAGGCATGAAAAACGTACTAGATTGAACTAAAATTCTACTAGTTCAAATATTTTTCCCAATAAATAAAATTTGTTGCAACTACTTTTAAAGTATTACAATTATATAATACAAATAATACAATTTACTACAGCATATGAGACATACATGTAAAAATCTATGACCAGAATAACCAGAAACCAAAACAACCACACAATAGTCAGACATTCAGAACGCCATACCATTTTCCATTATTACGTGAAGACCAGAGTGGTGGGTCCAAGTCATTTCACCCAAACAACCTCTGTTTCAGTTCATATCAATAAAACTTTGCATTAAGAAATAACATTCTTATCCTAACAAAAAATAATCACATAAATTAAATTATTAGACATTTTCATTTACAAGTTAGTAATTAAGTCACCCATATGTCTTTGTATACTGGGCTCATGCTGGTTGTAACGTGCAAGACTGTTAATTTTTGTTTTTCTCAACTCATAACTCCCCGTTGCTGGTGTTCTAAGTTTATATACAAACAAATGTGACTGAAGTTTTCTTATGTGTGAATTGGCTAACGGTACCATACATATTGTCGTCAACACTCAATAAACAGGCTATTAATCTTAGAAAAAATTGAAAGCAGTAAATATTTAACAATCTGAAACAAAAAAATAAAAACAGCAGACATTTTAATAATTATACAGACTTGGATTTTACACACACACACACACATGCACAATGCACCAGGTTAGTCCCAGATTAGTATAAATGAAATTCGTGGTAGCTTGAATTCAAAATTTGGTAGTCCTGGCAATGGAAGAGTCTTTTTGGTAAGAGTTCCATATGGCACCCCCACCCAAAAATTGTAGAATTGCCTGGATAAAAAAGATTCTGAA